CTAGCTGCATCGACCAACCGGGTCACTGAAGTGCTGGAGTCGACAAGAGTTCTGCTTGTTGCTCCTTCCAGCAGCCTGGCACCTAATTTCGCCGGTGTGCGAAATGACGCGGTTATAAAGCTCACGGATCAAAGTGACTCAGGCTGAATTGTGTACTGGCCAGATGTTCTGTTTGAATTAAGCGACACGGTTTGTGGTGACTGGTTCATTTGGGAGCGGATTTTGTCGCGCCGGCTTTGCGGGATGCCAATGTTCATCAAGTGTGGGGGCAGCAATTACAAGGTGGAACACTGCATTTGCTTAGACAAAGACTACACAAAGAGCACGATGGCGGACAGCCGGGTGCGGGTAACATTTCGGTGGGAGCGCGTCAATTTTTGTGGGTGCAAATTTGTGAGGGCCTAAAATCCCTTCAGCGATTAGGAGGAAATGCAGAGCGACAATCCTGCTCAACTCAAGCAAATTTCACTGAGATATTGCTTGTGCTTGTGTGTCGTGTACATATCAACAAAGCCTGTGGCCAATGAATCTCGGGTAATGTAAAATTGTTTACCATCATGATCAAACTGAGGGATCAAGATTGGATGATGGCTCATAAAACAGTTGAAAGGAAGAAAGTGCCGCCTGATCAAAAGCTGAACAGACCGTCGGCGAGAGATGAGAAACAATTGAAGGAGGAAAAGATGGATTGTGTTTGAGAGGGACAAGAGCCCAGGGATCCGGACTGGAGAGAAGCGTCATGCAGCTTGAGTTGTGAATCTCGAATTGTGAATCGTGAATCGTGAATTGTGAATCGTGATTGATGAAGAGGAGTTGTGAGCGGAACGGTCGCGCTCCAACCCTCTGCACCATGCTTCGAACGCCTCGTAATCACATTCGCGAGTGTGCTTACTTCAGGTCGGCCCATCCGCGCCTCGAACCCGGCTTCCTCATCGCCTTTGCCAAGTACGTTTGCGCTAAGATGGGGATTGCTAGGGGGCTGTAACCAACTCGCCCAGCAAGTGAAGCTGACCAGCCATGGCACAATCCTGGACTGGACACGGAGATCAGCGAGAAGATGCTGCAGTTCAACTTACGCGAGCTGCCAACATTGAAGTACAACCAGGATCGCCTCGACGAGTGTATCAAAGAGTTGCAAGCCAATGGAGCTTGATGTGGTGGCTTTGTCGGCCACTCCATCATTGCTGACGACGTGTTCCTCGAAGTTTCACCGGTTACTTGGCACAAAGCTGTCGAGATGCTGGGAGATCGACATGTAGTACATTGAACAGGCATTGAAAGGGTGACTTTACGCTCCAATGTTCTCCCCTCGCATCATGGATCGCGTACACACTCGATCAAACTCTCGCCCACACCACCCAACAGTCGAGCTGGGTTTTGAGGATGCCAGCCAACCGCACATCCGGCCAAAGAGCACCTCGTCCTCAATTGTTCGAGGACTTGATCCGAGCATCGATACACACAAGATACCAAGAGCAGCTACGAAGAGAGCAGCGTGAGATTTCGTTCGAAGCGAGCGAAATTTACTGCTTCTAGTTCTGCGGTGATTGTTGGTCTAGTCGACAGGTTGAGTTCTAAATGAGGGTAGCCAGTCTATGCAGTTGCCAGGTACTCGTGATACAAGCGAACGCGTAAATGCCGAGATGTAGATCGATAGGGTCGGAAGATTGGACCTGGATCATCGCGGATCCGAGTGTATGTATGTCATCTGGCTGTCGTGGATCGTATCTTCGCAAGCACACCTCAATGCATTGCAACGCCTCCATCTTCCTTGCCGCCCGCGGCTGCTACCCAAGCACCATTAGCCAGAATCAGACACGCGCCCGCGACCGAAAGAGGCTCGAGCGGAGTGCCGAGCAGCAAGACCTGGAAAGTCGTCGCGAAGAAAATTTGCTGCAAAAGTGGAAGCAGGTCAAAGGTCAGGCGATGCTGTACGCAGGCTCCCTAACGCAAGTCGACTCACAAGATAACTCATGACCGCCGCCCTGCCCGCTTTCTCTCGTTGCAAACCAAGCTTCATATTGTGAGACGAGAAGGTCAGCTTGGCAGCATGTGCGTGACAAGCGTCTCGTGTCTCACCGTTTGAAAGACTTGTGCACACAAGCTGAAAATTCCGACGCCGACGAGAAAAAAGGCGGACCTGTTCATACAGGAGTGGTGGTATTGATTTCAGAGGCTGCGCTTGCATGAGAAATCTGACCCGTGCCGTGCCACTCACAATGGGGTGCTCGGGACTACAAAGGGTTGCCGGAGAATGAGCATACAGGCGAGAGATAGCGCCCATGAAGCACCAGAGAAATAGGCTGCGCAGAGGGAGGGCAGCAGAGGCCTTGTGAGTCAACAAGATGGGCAGCCGCTGTATCGAATGAGGTTGTAAAGTACGCACTGATGGAATGATACGTGCTCGCACGCCTTCCGATGAGTCGCTGAGCGACCCATGCCACTGCCACTGTGGCAACGCTTGCGAGTGCAGCAAGCACGCCGATGAGCTGTTTGCTGCCATCATCAGCTTGTGGAGAGTGCGGAAATGGATCGTCTGGTTGAGGGGGTGTGTCGCCAGGTGCGGCGGGCGGTGCGCCAGGTTGTCCAGCGCTGCGGGGTCCAAAGATGAAAGCAGGTCTCGCGATCATAGCGACGCCCAGCAAAGAAGAAGCACCAGCAATGCGCTCGCGCACGGTAAAGGGTTCCGCGAGGAAGATTGTTGCCAGAATGCCGGTAGCCAATGGAGATAAGAAGCAGATGGTTGTAGCGTCGGACAGTGCGAGCATCTGCAGACTGATGTAGAGGAACAGCGTGGACAGCCAGCCAGCGATGCCTCTGACCGCCAAGGCGTAGCGCACTGCGCCGGGCGGGCCCAGCAGGCTACGCAGGCGGCGAGGCATCGATTGGGCGAGAGGAGTTACGCGGTCAGCGTCGCATGCGAGACTTGTGGTGACTCATCTGCGCTGCCACTCACATGTGCTCTGTGCGTGCAATCTTCATGACTGCCAGGCACGCGACCCAGATGATGAGCGTTTCGACAAAGACGACCTCGAGCGCTCCCAGGGGAGGGGTGAGACCGTCACTGTAGCCCCTACCCGGAGCTTCTGCGCCTTCGCGAGCGTCGAGCAGGGTGACGAAAAGGTTCATGCAGCTGTAGCAGATTTGGCTGAGGGCGATGAGGATGAGACCGAGATTGCTGGAGGGCGTGGGCGATACGGACAGCATGGCTTCGCGCAGCGTGATGGAAGTCTCGCCCGCTGCCAAGGGCTCTCCCATGACCGATGCGTGGGTGCGGGCCAAGCTGAAGAGAGAAGCATCGCCGCGCAGAGATGGCGCCGCGTAGTAGCGATTCAGCGCATCGTGACCGTGACTCGCACTCTGACTGTAAGTCATGGGATGACGAGAAATGAGGGATGAATGCTCGGACAGCGAGGCGTGATCATCTGCCTCCAGTGCTTGACGCAGCGAGAGGCCAGATGCTGCTGCTGCGGCTGCTGCGGCTGCTGCTCCCACGCGGTCATCGTCCGAGTGAAAGTGACGGTTGCCTGGGAGGATGCCGCTATGTGCTTGACTGCATGTGCGAGTGCGAGTGCGAGTGCGAGTGCGACTGCCACTCTGACTCATACTCATCAGACTGGCCACCTCTGCCTCTGCCTCCTCGTCCAGCGGCTCAAAGGCGTTGGCCGCGCGAAGATAGTCGTTTGGCGCGAGCATCTGGACAGCGTCGTGTAAGAATGAACTAGCATTGCTGACGTAACTCTGTCCCAGCGCCAAGTAGCTGTCGTTGGCGGCGTCCGTATGTGCGGCATCGTGGTCGTCTGTGTATGATGCGCTTTCAGTCAGAGTGTCGGGTCTGGATTCACGTGACTGCAAGGAAGAGATGGAAGCGGTGATGCCTGCCGTGCCTGCGTCTGTGCCTTCCCCGACGCCCTCTCCCCCTCCCGCACTCTCTCCTTCTGCTTCAGCTTCTCCCTCTCCCTCAGATGAGGAGGAGGATGTGCTGCTGACTCGGAGCATCGGACTCGACACCTCTCGACTGTCTGCAGCAGCAGCTTCCCTACGTCGATAGGCATAGTCGATGATCTCTATGCGACCGGGAGGTGCAGCGCCACGAGATCCCGTCGCGCCGCTTCCCACAGCCACCTGAGCGGGCAGCATGGGGGGTGGGTCGCTGGCCAACAGCTCCCTTAGCGTAGCCGCGCTGGCAATGGCGTGCTGGGTCTGATGCGTGTGCGCCTGAGCATCCGCAGCAGTGGCATCCGCAGCGGTGGCATCCGCAGCGGCAGGCAGCATTGTGAGCGCCATTCTGCCTTGCGATGGGCTGGTGCTGGCTGATCGCGCATGTTGATTGCCTTCACCGCCACTCGCACTCCTGTCATCGCTACTCGTCCCTCTTGCTGGGCCACTCTGACGCTGACTGCTGGATGCAGAGGCGGATCGCTGCATGGCGTGGGCGTGGGCGTGGGCGTGGGCGTGGGCGTGTGCAAGGGCGTCGCGAGTGTGTACGTGTAGTCGGTATTGAGACTTGCGACTGAAACGAGTATGAGTCAACAGTCACGAGTCAAAGTCTGATCAAAGTCTGACGAGTCTTGAGTGTGAGACAAGAAGGCGTGTCTCTCCTGCACACATTCGCGATTCAGATTGCGACTGATGGCACTCGTAATGTAAGATTCAAACTCGACATCATTCTTGATTCCTTTTTCGCGCTCAGCAACGCGCTCTGCACTTTTTTCTGATTTTGACTTTTGACTCGGACTCAAGACTGCCGCGGTCCCTCTCTCGACCGCACACGTGATGCAAAGCCAAATTCAAAATTCGAATCAATCAAGAATCTGAATGTTGAATCTTGACCAGTCTTAGTCTTGATTGTGACTCTCATCATCAGACTTGTATACACTCATGACTCTTGACTCAAACTGTGACTTTGACTCTGACTATAATCCTGAATCACGTGAATGTGTCGTACCTCCCCCCTTTGCCGCCTCTGGAACGCGCGCGCTTTGCTCGGACCTGCTGCCGCGTTGCTGCTGCGCTGCATGCTGGTCTACTGTACTCTATACAGCAGCTGGCTGG